ACATTTCTTATATTTTACTGTGTTATTTGCGTACCAGATAATTGCATCCCTGCACATTTGTGACCCTTGACAAATGCGTACCTGGATAATTACGTACTTCTTATAATTTTTTGAAATTATTTGTCTTTTTTTTTAAATGTTTAATATACAAATTTGAACACCGTTACCTTTAATTAATCTAAACAAGCAGAAAGGTATTTACTATAAATAATAAAGAGAAAAAATTTCTTTTTTAAATCAAGAGAAAATTAATCTACGAATTTCAGTTCACTCCAGCAGTGCGTACCACAAACATACAAATAGATTCTGGATTTTAAAGATTATATTTTTGTTTAGAACCCATGGTTAAGTTCCGAAAATCAAACACTGGTAGAAAAATATTTGTGAACGAGGAAAGTTACAGCTACTACTACCATAAGAAAAACGCCGATGAAACAAAAACATACAGGTGATGTATACAGCGATCTTGCATTACTGTTAATCTGTCATTGCATTTTAAACAAAAATAAACTTTTAATTTTTAAAATTATATTCCTTTTTTTTTTTAAAAAAAAAAAAAATGATTACTACCTATGCTTTTTTTTCAAAATTTATGATAACTGTCTTTAAAAGCTTCAGAAAATTATCAGAGAAATTAAAAAATTACCCAGGAACGCATTTGTCTAGGGACGCAAGTGTCCAGGGACGTGATTGTCTGGTACACAATTGTCCGAGACGCAAATGTCCAGCGCGCAACTACCCGAGAACCATGCTGAGGATATCATGGATCGAACATGTGACCAACGACGAGATTTTAGAAAAAATGGAAAAAAAAAAAACTCATACTTAAAATCAGGAAAAGGCAGTTAAAATTTCTAGAGCACATAATGAGGAAGGAGGGTTTAGAAAATCTGATACCCATAGGACAAACTGAAGGCAAGAGGAACAGAGGAAAATAGCGCATACACTTGATGAGCTTAAATAAATGGATGGCAGAAAAGGGTTTGAGAGAAATAACGAAAAAGCAAAATTTATTAAGCGCTACAAAGGGCAGGAAATCGTGGAGAGCCATGATCGCCTTCACCCTGAGAGGACATGGCACATAAAGAAGATCAATCAGATTCAGATACATGCACGGGAAAATTATGCTGAGAACAGTTCATTACAATCTTCTCCCCCTATATAACTTTTGGGGGACTAAGAAGATATTCTTATTGACATAATATATATATAATATTGATATAATTAAGAAAATTATGCCGAGAACGGTTCATTATAACCTTCTCCCCCTATATAACTTTTCAGGACTAAAGGAACAAATACTTATAGCGATTTACTAAGCATAGCTTAGATGCGACACAAGGCCGAAAGTATGGAACACACAGTGAGGATCGAACTCACTAATCAGCTGTAATTGATTTAGCGAAAGGAGCTTGTTAACCATTACACTACGTTGAAGTACTCCAAATATGATTTCCTAAGCGTAGCTTAGATGTAGCATAAAGCTGAAAATGAGGACCGAATTCACTACTCAGTCGTAACTGATCTCGAGAGACAAGCTTGTTAACCATTACACCATGTCGAATGGATGCAATCTCTCTACTTAGAGTAACAGAAAACCTCGATATGTACAGGTGTATTGACAGGTCGCAAGTTGAGTGAATGACGGGTAATCACATGGAAAAGAATTTTTTTCTCCAAAATTTGGAATGAAAACTTCGTTGCTCCTCATTATCTCATGGTTAGCAATTACTCACGCCGAAACTTTTTTTTTTCCAAAAATAAAAGTAAAAAAAAAAAAAACAACAACAAAAGTAACAAGAATGAAATCAATAGTTCGAACAATTCATTCAATGATAACATCGTCCATCTTTCTTGTGGACCTTTTATTGCCAACTCGACATCGGAATGCTAGACAAAAACTAGATTGTCAGCAACGGAAAACAGGAAATATATTTAAAGGCTACGAAACCGAACAGTCTGCATTCCTGGTGTATCATGCGACGTTTGAAGACCTAACTTTGAAGCTAATACACGTGATATAAAATTAGCACTTCGGCGTGGTGTAATGATTAGCAAGCTTGTCTCGCAAAAACTTAATACTGAATAGTGAGTTCGATCCTCATTGGGTGCCTCATAGTTTCGGCCTTGTGCCACATCTAAGCAATGCTTAGAAAATCAAGGGCACCTCGGCGTGGTGTAATGGTTAGCAAGCTTGTCTTGCTAGGTCAGTTACTAATGAAAAGTGAGTTCGATCTTTCGGCCATGTACCACATCTGAGCTACGCTTGGAAAATCACTATAAAATTAGCGTATATACTGCTGGTTCTTCGCTGCCTTCTGTAGGAGGTTTTGTAGTTTCCTTTCCGTGTCATCAGCCAAAAGATGAGCCCGAAATGCGATTTACAGGTCGGAATTATAAATATCTGGGAAGTCTTCTCACAGAGGACGATAAGTGCGACGCTGAAATCTGAAGACGTATTGGGATGGCCAAAGACGCATACCAAAAGCTAGGCAGAGTATTACGAGACAGGATGGTTTCGTTGGTAACAAAGCGTACTGAGCACGTGATATGTGTCCTACTTTATGACAGCGAATGAGGAACAAGATGAAAAAGATGAAAAAGAGACTCAAGGCAAAAGAGGTATGGTTCTACAGAAGTATGCTAAGGATACCATGGACCGAAGATGTGAGCAACGATGTTTTGGAGAGGATAGTATTTATCAATCCACCCACGGGGATCGAATGTGGCACAAGGCCTTTTAATGTGGGTATGTCCGAGCCCGTAGGCCCAGCCAAAAATAAATAACCATCCAAACCCGCCGAGTTGGGTCAGTTCCAACCAACCTCCCCAACGAATCCCTACCCTTCGGCAGGACCTTCGTCAGGGTTCCTCTCTGCAAGCAGAGAGTTCGACAGACACCCGACCCGGCAGCTCACAAAGCACAGATACTACACTTTGATCCTAGCCACCGGACCGAGCGGGTATTAGAGGATGCAAACAAAGAGGAAACTTATACTTAACATCAGGAAGAAGCAGCTGAAATTTCAGGGACACGTAAGGAAAAAGAAGGGCTTGGAAAACCTGATACTCACAGGGCGAAGGGAAAGAGGGACAAGGGAAAGCAACGCATGACATAACGAGTTTAAGTAAGTGGATGGCAGAACAGGGTCTGGAAGAGATAGCAAAAACACAACATTTATTGAGAGCTACAAGCAACAGGAAGAAATGGAGAGCTATGATCGCCTACGTCTTGAAGGGACATGGCGCATAAAAGAAGAAATACGGCTGCTCCTGGCTATGCCGTTGAACAAACATTATATCCATTTACTGTAGTAAATTTTTTAAAACATTGACAGTACACACGAAGGAGGCTATATAATGAACCAGCAGCAATGTTTTAATATACGACAAAAACAACAAATTTGGGAAACAATTGTCTGTATGATAAAATGAAAAAATCTATGTAAGTAAAGAAAGGTTTTAAACATTTTTTAAAACTAATAATTGTTAAAGATACTTTCAAAATTACGTCTTCAAGTCGCATGATACGCGAGTATATACAGTAATCATTTTTGTCAAAAATATTACTATAGATTACGCACTTCGGATCACGAATATGAAATATTTACGATAGGGGAAGTTCAATTTGATAGGTAAATTCATTGTATATTGAAGTGATACCCCTACGGAAACCCTCACTGAAAAAAAAAAAAAATAATAATAATGTTCATATTCCCTGCTTCCAAGCAGCTGATAAATAACATTTAATCATATAATTTTTCAATTTTTTTTCATAGAAAACTGTACCCCTTGTTAACAATTTAATTTAAAATATTGATATTTGTAATCGCTTACTCACTATTAACATGAAAAAATTTAAAAAAATGAATATTTCTAGTTGTAATGCCTATTCTAAAACTCCACTGAACTAAAATACCGAAATGGAATCCCAATCGAATATGATGATATTGAGAGGTATTGACTGGGCGTCTAGGTGATTCATAATATATCTTCGCTTCTACTTTGCAGATTGTACCAAAATCCACAATACCCACAGTGCAGTGCTTTAAGGAACGTTTACTATTTTTCAAAAGATTTTCTATATCCGATGATTATTATTTTGTTCGAAGGTTAGTAAAATTATATATATATATATATATAAAATAACATTTGAGTCGAAAAATTAATTCACTCTTAAAGTTATAAAATAATCTATATGTATAAATAATTAAGTTGAAAAATTAATTTTTAAATTTATATAAAAATTATATAAAATAATTTTAATTTCAAAAATTAATTAATTTTTTAAAGTTATCTAAAATATATAAATTAATGTTTAAACTTATAAAAATTATTAAACTTGTATACAAATTATATAATTTTACAACAAATATACAATTTTTTTACAAATTATAGAATTGTTCCACGTTTCTTATATTAAAATTATTTAAAAACATTTTAAATTGCAAAATTTTTACACCTATATAAAATATAACTTAATGTTTTAATTTACATAAAAGTTATATAAATAATTTTTAATTTAATTAATTTTTTAACTTTTATAAAAATATATAAATCAAGTTTTAAATTTATATAAAAATATTAATTATTATACATATATACAAAGTATATAATTTTTTTAACAAATATATAATTTTTTACAAACTGTATAATTTTTCCGCGTTAATGTTAAAATTATTTAAATATTTTTAATCCGACTGATTAATTGTTAAACATATACAAAAATTATTAATTAATTAATAAACTTATAATAAAACTATATAAAATATGTTTTTTAACTTTAAATATTTCCACAGTCATGACTATAGCAGACAGTACACACAAAGGAGGCTATATAATGAACCGGCTGCAATGTTTTAATATACGACAAAGACAACAAATTTTGGAAACAATTCTCTGTATGATAAAATTAAAAAAATCTATGTAAATAAAGAAAGGTTTTAAGCTTTCTTTTAAACTAATAATTGTTAAAGATACTGAATTCTTATGCTACTTACACGAGTGTAGACATTCAATAATGGTCGTTGCATCAATGTAGTAACCTCCACATAAAACGCAGATAAGGTGAGGATTTAGTTCTTTGATATCGATCCGTTTTGGTCTGTGTAACCTGAAAAGAATGGATAAAACGTTTAAGACAATAAGCTTGTAAAACAGTGTTTTAACACATCTTCTATCTTCCTTTTCTTTCTTTCTTTCTTTCTTTCTTTTTTTTTTTTTTCGCTATTATTTTCTTATCAGAAATATTTTTCCTGGTAAGAAATGAAAGACAAAACACTTTTTTTAGAAAACATTTTCCCCTCCAAAAAGTTTGGTTTGGTTTGATTTATTTTGTTTCATATCAATCTCAATACGTTATTTAATTCCGACAAGGTTTTTAGGATAGGTTCGTATGAATAGAATATGTAATCTTTGTAAGAAATCAGTTTGTAGATCAGGTTTCATTGACATATTTTTGTAAAGAGGGTTTTTGTCGAGAGTCAAATGTATTGCTGGTAATTTTTTTTTTTTTTTTTAGAAATGTATTGCTGGTAAATTTTTTTTCAAAAATATATTGCTGGTAATATTTTTCCAAAAATTTATTGTTTCAAGGCATATAAATCTCAATGGGTTATTTAATGCCGACAAAATTTTTTAGATAGGTTCGTATGAACAATATGTTTTCTTTGTAAGAAATCAGTTTGTAGATCAATGTTTGGGTTTATTTTGTTTTACGGCATATCAACACCTCCATGGGTTATTTAATGCCGACAGGATTTTTAGGAATATGTTTATATGAATAAAATATGTATTCTTTGTAAGAAATCAGTTTGTAGCTCATTGACGTATTTTTGTAAATACGATTTTTGTCGAGAGTCAAATGTATTGCTGGTATTTTTACTATAAAAATCTATTTTTATACCTTCATAGAGTTTTGACCCCAGTTTGGCGGTTAACTGTAGTTAGGACCCTAACAGATGCTACCACCCCGGATCAGGGTGGATCTGGGAACAACAAAACCTCCCGATCAGAGGCATTGCTGTCGGATGCTTCACAGTCAAATTTTATGTTGCTGGCAGACAAAGGGTTCACAGAATTTAAAAAGGTGAGCTTCAAACCTATAATTAATACCGTATATTTTGAAAACCTAGTTTTTATTTTAATTTTTATAATTAATAATTATAATTAATTAATTTTTATAATTAATAATGGATTTTATGTTTAAATATCGATGGATTAAAATAGTAATTTATTCAGGTTTGGTTTGCTTTGCTTTACGGTATATCAACCTCAAAGGGTTATTTAATGCAGACGAGATTTTTATTGCTGGCAATATTTTTTTTTCCAAAAATGTATTGTTGGTAATATTTTTTCAAAAATGTAGTGCTGGATATATTTTTTTCAAAAATGTACTGCTGGTAATAATGTATTACTGGTAATAATTTTTCTTTAAAAATGCATTGCTGGTAATATTTTTTCCAAAAAGTATTGCTGGTATTAAAACCTATGTTTATACTTTCATTGTGTTTTGACCCCTTTTTCGAGCGTAACTATTTGCCTATAGCTGGGACCCTAACAGGTGCTACCACCCCAAGTCAAGGTGGACCTAGAACACCAGCATTTAAGAGGTGGTTCCGCACTCCTCAAAACTTGATCAAAGGCCTTGCTGTCGGATGCAGTTTATCGTCTTACCCAGGACGGAATTTATTCATGTATATTGTGTTGATCAAATTTAGGCTTCGATTGCTGATGTGTTTTGGATGTATTATAAACAAAATTTCATATTGGCACATAGATTATTTGCGTAATATAATCTGACAAATCAAAACAAGTTATCGTACATTTCTTTTGCATAATACGAGCAATTTTGAGCAAAAATCAACCGTAAAAGTGGATGTGTGCACGTTTTCAGAAATTTTTACACAGCTTAAAAATCTTTTATTTAAAACATCCAGATTGCAAATAAACTCAGTTCACATAATAGATAATAAAACACAAGCAGGTGTTAATAACGATTGTTTTCAAAATGTATTTGATATGTCGGCCATATTTGTTTTATTGGAATCAGCCTAATTATACGCCATTTCTGTCAAAGACAGGAAATTTACCGAAATTGATTAAAGAATAATTATAATTAATTAATTTTTATAATTAATAATGGATTTTTGTTAAGTATCGATGGATTAAATTAGTAATTTATTCAGGTTTGATTTGGTTTGTTTTACGGTATATCAGTCTCAAAGGGTTATTTAATGTCGACGAGATTTTTATTGCTGACAATATTTTTTTCCAAAAATGTATTGTTGGCAATATTTTTTTCCTAAAATGTATTGTTGGTAATATTTTTTCAAAAATCTAGTGCTGGCAATAATTTTGAGCGAAAATCAACCGTAAAAATGGGGTGTGTAGTTCTTATTATACGCAAGTGCTCGTTTTCAGAAATTTTTACACAGCTTAATATTTTTTTTTTTTAAATCCAGATTGCAAATAAATTCAGTTTACATAATAGATAATAAAACACAAAGTAGGCAGGTGTTAATAACAATTGTTTACAAAAGGTATTTGATATGTCGGCCATATTTGTTCTATAGGAATCAGCCTAAATGTACGCCATTTCTGTCAAAGACAGGAAATTTACCGAAATTGATTAAAGAAATAATAATGGAAATACACAAGATTCGTCATGTTTCGATAACATTAAAGTAAAAACAAAGCAGCTTTCCCCGAAAATAAGTTTTGAAACGGAAATTAGGAAAAGAAACAAACAATGGCTACACATCCGGTTCTTTTTTATTCTTTAATATCGAGAAAAATTAAATATTTTAGTGAAATATATGCACGACATTGAGATTTTAATGGATAATATAGCACAACAATTAAATAAAAATACATAGTGAAGGCTGTACTCCGGGGTCGTGTTACACTCAATGATGTAATTCATTACCTGTTTTTATCTTCAAAAAATCTGTTGTATTATATTAAATACGTATTATACACAAGGAAATGCAGTATCAATGTTCAAATAGACATTACATATTATTAAATACACATTACAAGCTGAAACTCACACAATGTAATGCTAAAGTTATACAATGTAACTCGGATATAAGAGAGTTGTCGGGACCGGAGAAGAAGTCTCTTATATCCGGGTTTCTCTTATGTCCGGGTTTGGTCTATTTTATATACATTAACACAGGCTCTAATTTGGGACCAGAGAAAATCTCTCTTATATCCGGGTTTCTCTTATATCCGGGTCTCTTATATCCGGGTTACACTGTAGTAAGTATAATGACAAAAGTACATAGCTGCAGGTTTTAAGAAAGCTTTATCCAAGTTAGAATACAAGGTTCGTGTATAGTGTCCTTTTATAGTCCCAGTAAATAGAAATAACTCTCTCAAAGAGCAGAGTGACAAATCAAGGGGAGACAACTCTTGATTATTCATAACAGTAAGTATATCTTAAATTTTTATTAATACTGATTGGTCAATTTTATATTAATTATATTGTGAAAATTTTGTAATATCAATTTTATAGTGAAAACAATATAATGCTCATGTAATTAAAAGCATATCTTGAATTTTTATTAATACTGATTGGTTAATTCTATATAAATTTTATAGAGAAAACTTCGTCTTGTATAAAAAAAAACTGACATTTAGGCGCTTCGACATGGCTTAATGGTTAATAAGCTTGTCTCGGAAGATCAATTACGACTGAAAAGTGAGTTCGATCCTCACTAGGTGCTCTATATTTTCGGCCTTGTGCCACATCTAAGATACTCTTAGAAAATCATTTTTGGGCACTTCGATGTGGCGTAATGTTTAGCAAGCTTCTCTCGTTAGGTCAATTATGACTAAACAGTGAGTTCGATCCTCACTAGGTGTCCCATAATTTTGGCCTTGTGCCACATCTAAGATACACTTAGAAAATCATTTGGGGCACTTCGAAATGGTGTAATGGTTAGCAAGCCTATCTCGCTAGATCAATTACGACTGAGTAGTGAGTTCGATCCTCACTGGGTGTCCCATACTTTCGGCCTTGTGCCACATCTAAGATACGCTCAGAAAATCACTATAATATAATCTGACGTTGTCCATAATGTTTGAAAAAAAGCGTCTGTGATTTTGCTAAAGTTATTATAGAATTTCTAGCCCTGGGGGTTAGAACCTCAGCCCTTGCAACCTTATGTCCAATGCTCTTGCACTAAATGTTTCCGTCACAGACGTCGTGGCGACAACGATCTCGCTGCAAAGCGTTCGTGTAGTGTCACGGCGAGTCGAGCGAAGTAATGAGAATAAATCGATCGATAGACATTCATCGATCGATGAGAACAGACACGCTACAGCTTGTGGCAGGATTTGAGGTAGGGCAGAAGAACGGTGCAGTCAGCGGTGGCGGAGGATTTCGAAAAGAACGCCTCCTCCATTGTCATTAGCAGAACAGACACGCACAAACGATGAGTGGAAAGACGCCTGCCAACCAATGTTGAATCAAGCGCCTACCATAGAGCGATATTTAGTGAACTCGACTCGCAAGATGATATCGCGAGTTCTGTCCTTACCATCGTAGCCAGGAAACCAAGAATTAATTGAAGTCTGTTGATCGGTATCCATCTCTACTGACAGAACCTTCCCATCCATTACCCGAAGAGAAGTTGATTCAGGTAAACACTGCTTGCAACGCTGCAGATACCATGTATTTTGGTTAGGGGGATAGGAAATGGTTCCAGCAGCTATTTTTCTGACATTAAACTAATCGCTGACTCACAACGTTGTCACAACATTATAACAATGTTGCGAGGGCACTTAGATGTGACACAAGACCGAACGTATGGGGTACCTAGTGAGGATCGAACTCACTATTCAGTCGTAACTGATCTAGCAGAGACAAGCTTGCTAACCATTACACCGCCTACGTGGGGTAATGGTTAGCAAGCTCGTTTCGCTAGAACAATTACGACTGAGTAGTGAGTTCGATTCTCACTGAGTTCCTCGGCCTTGTGACACATCTTAGATACGCTTAGAAAATCATTTTGGGCACTTCGAAATGGTGTAATGGTTAGTAAGCATGTCTCTGCTAGATTAGTTACGACTGAATAGTGAGTTCGATTCTCACTGGGTTCTCCGGCCTTGTGTCACATCTAAGATACGCTTAGGAAATCATTTTGGGCACTTCGAAATGGTGTAATGGTTAGCAAGCATGTCTCTGTTAGATTAGTTACGACTGAATAGTGAGTTCGATCCTCACTGAGTGCCCGATACTTTCGGCCTTGTGCCACACTTGGAAAATCGCTATAATAATGTTGCGAAGTACTGTAGTTGAAAAGTTCAGGCTGGTCAAATAAAATCTGAATACTTATTTTTCTCCATAATATATATATAGAAGATATAATGTTTCTTTCCCTCTTTTCATTAATTTCTATGGCACATAATGAGGAAAGAGGTCTTGGAAAATTTGACACTCACAGGACGTATTGAAGGCAAGAAGGACAGAGCAAGACAACGCATAACCTACCGAAAAAATAAAATCTGTAAAGAAATCTCCAAGCAGCGAAATGCAGTAACATAAAGGATAAAAAATAAAAAAAAAAAAAATAGAATCTGGATGATTTTTAACTGAATGAAACTCGTAGAGTGTGATTTGTGCACAATCGGAGAAAAGTCTTAAATATAAAGTGACTGTAGGCGACGTAATAAAAAAATTAAATAATTTACAGTAGTTAAACTAATATTCAAACAGTTTATGAATATATTATTTCATTTAGCTATAAAGTTTTAAAAAATGTAATATTTTAACAATACAGGTGCACCAAAGATTTTCCAGTTCTTTTAATCCGGAGAGAGAATTAAGAAAAAAGTCTTTTGTTAACGAGCTTGAGAAAATGGATAGCAGAACATGTTCTAGGAGAGATAACAAAATTTCTGAAGAATCACAGCACGAATAATAATAATAATAAGAAGAAGAAGAAGAAGAAGAAGAAGAAGATTAATAATAATAAGATCAAAAAGAAAAAGAAGAGTAATAATAATAATAAATAATAATAAAGAGAAGAGTAAGAATAATAAGAATAATGATAAAAAGAAGAAAAAATAAGAAGAAAAAGAAGAGAAACAAGAAAAAGAAGAGTAAGAATAATAATACGAAGAGTAATAATAATAATAAGGAGAAGAAGAAGAATAAGAAGAAGAAGAAGAAGAAGAGTAATAATAATAATAATAATAATAAGAAGAAGAAGAAGAAGAGTAATAATAATAATAAGGAGAAGAAGAAGAAGAAGAAGAAGAGTAATAATAATAATAAGGAGAAGGAGAAGAAGAAGAAGAGTAATAATAATAATAATAAAACGAAGAATAATAAGTAGAAAAAGGATAGGAATAAAGTATAAGAAGGAGAAAAAAGAGTAAGAATGATAAGAAAAAGAAGAAAAATAATAAAAAAGAATAAGAGTAAGAAGAAAAAGAAGAAGAGTAAAAAGAAGAGTAAGAGGAAGAAGAAAAGAGGAAGAAGAAAAAGATGTCATACACTGGGCGAACCACAGGTGGCGTTGCGTGTAGCGTGTGATCATTTAATTGTTTACACAGTCGATGATGCTGTCGGGATACGGGGGGATGCATAATTAGTGAGTCAGTTATGTATTATTGAATTGCTATTATTATGTCACTTCTGCTGCTCCGTCAAGATGGATATCTCAGCACGGTTCTAGAATCTAGGGTGTCGGAAAATTATCATGTACCTGTATAATATTTCACATATTTTATCATATTAATTTACAATTTCCGGCGCCAAGATATATGTATATTCAGGAAAGATTTACGAATATATTATTTATGTTTTTTTTAATTTTTATTTTATTGAGGCATTACGAGTTGCATGCGGGGTTCATATAGCCAGCTTCTGCTGGTTGCAGGACAATCACTTGTATCTAGGGAGGAGAAAAAATGTGGTCCTTGTCGATTATCTACGGTCCTTCAGTAGACGAGGGTTCCATTTCAAAATCTGCGCCCGCAAAGCTAATTCACGATGATCATTAGATAGATAGATAGATAGATAGATAGATAGATAGATAGATAGATAGATAGGAAAAGAAAAAGATATAGATAGATAGATAAATAGAAAGATAGGAAGGAAAAGAAATAGATAGATAGATAGATAGATAGATAGATAGATAGATAGGAAAAGAAATAGATAGATAGATAGATAGATAGATAGATAGATAGGAAGGAAAAGAAATCGATAGATAGATAGATAGATAGATAGATAGATAGATAGATAGATAGATAGATAGGAAAAGAAATAGATAGATAGATGGATGATAGATAGATAGATAGATAGATAGATGGATAGATAGAAAATAAATGGATAGATAGATAGATAGATAGATGGATAGATAGATAGATAGATAGATAGATAGATAGATAGATAGATAGATGGGAAAGAAATAGATAGATAAATAGATGGATAGATGGATAGGAAGGAAAAGAAATCGATAGATAGATAGATAGATAGATAGATAGATAGATAGATGAATGGATGAATGGATGGGAAAAGAAATAGATAGATAAATAGATAGATGGATAGATGGGAAGGAAAAAAAATCGATAGATAGATAGATGGATAGATAGATAGATAGATAGATAGATAGATAGATAGATAGATAGGGAAAAGAAATCGATAGATAGATGAATGGGAAGGAAAGAAATCGATCGATAGATAGATAGATAGATATAGATAGATAGATAGATAGATAGATAGATAGATGAATAGATGGGAAAAGAAATAGATAGATAGATAGATAGATAGATAGATAGATAGATAGATGAATGGATAGATGGGAAAAGAAATAGATAGATAGATAGATAGATAGATAGATAGATAGATAGATAGATAGATAGGAAGGAAAAGAAATCGATAGATAGATAGATAGATAGGAAAAGAAATCGATAGATAGATAGATAGATAGATAGATAGATAGATAGATAGATAGATAGATAGATAGGAAAAGAAATCGATAGATAGATAGATAGATAGATAGATAGATAGATAGATAGATAGGAAAAGAAATCGATAGATAGATAGATAGATAGATAGATAGATAGATAGATAGATAGATAGGAATGGATAGAATAAGATCAACAATGAAAAACTTCGTTACGCGTTTCGTTTCTCGAAAGGACTTCTTCAGGTTACTTATAGTTTTATTGCTGGAAGCTTATATACGTAGGGTTGGGAACAAAAATACAGCAAACGTCGGATATAATTGTACTTCGAGAAACACTGAAGATATCGGGACGTTTAGCTTTAAATTAAAAACCTTGAAGTTCGCTGTGTCTAGACCCCTAACCTAGTCGAGCACATTCTGCTTTCTGTTTGTGTTCTCAATTTTTTTCTTTCAAATATCCCACATTGAAATAGTAATAGTTTTGTTTGGAAAGGAGATATATTGTGTAATATTTCATCGATAAGACCATTATTAGTCTCAAGATGTCCCTCCGCTTTTGTCATCAATGGTGGACTTGCTTAAGATTTAGTCAAATTTGAATAGAGCTACTGATAAAAACATTTTTTTATAATCAAGAAGATGGTAGATAACGATTGACATTGCATTTAAATTTTTGAAGATCTATGTTGACTGGAAAGCATGGAGCTGGAAGAGAGTTCCACAAGTGAGAAGTGCAAGAAAAAGAAACTGTTAGCCTATAACTTACGGTTACATCTAGCCAATCAAATAGTAAATTGGTGAGACCTTGCTGCCAATCTAGCATTGCGCTTAGAATTCGTATGTATTTTAATTTTTAATCGTAGTTCAATATAGAAAACATTTTGTGTGTCACCGTATGACAAGGAAATCAAACATTTTCATTAATTTTTATTAAGGTGTGCATATGTTTTAATCGATAGCGGGTCGGAATGAGAAATTGGAGAGCGGGGTTCGAATTCTAGTCGGGTTCGTCAATTCCACTTACTCGCAAATACATTTAGTTACTGATATTTATTTGTAGTTGCGATTATATCGTGTTAGTTGCTTGCCTGAGTCCAGATACAGATAATAGAGCACTCAGTTTTGATTGCGAGGAAATATGTCAGAAAAAAAAACTTATGTCAGAGACGTTGTTTGGATTTAATGAGAAAAAGCATATGAAAGAAAGAAAAACAAAAGAGATAATGCTCTCATACGTTTAACATTTGCTTCAGTAAAATGGAAAATCTTGACAATTTCAAAGTTTTTCATTTGTACCCTCCTACTTCTTTTAATAATGATCTGCATTTATACTTACAGTATTTTGTTAAAATTGTTAAGCCCAAATATTTAACTGCACA